TTTTTTTTTTTTTTTTTCTTTGTACAGTAAAAAATGAAAATCAATTACAGCGGAAATAGTGACTGCCCACGGATTTAATATTGCGTTACGAGTATGCCCTTGGGATTGCGCAGAATTGCACTGGGTGAATGACAGGGGGGCGAAATTTTGTAAAGAGAACTTGGGTGCTCAAGTATATTTTATAATAGATTTAAGTACCATTTTGGTCCCTCAACTTTTTATTTTGATATCAAAATTGTCTCTCAACTTTAAAAAAATATCAAAATTATCCTCAAACTTTCATTTTCGATACCAAAATGATCATTTCGTCAGTTAAATAACAGGTGGCTCGTTAAAATGCCACAAAATCATTAGACTTTTTGAATGTTAATGACGTGTAAATCCAGCTAAGAAAATTTTGTTACCATGGCATGTTTTTTTTGTACACGTGACATATTTTTTTACACATCATATTATCACCTTTTAAACTTTCCTTTTTAATGGGGCCCACATGACTTTTTTTAACTTTTCTTATTCTTTCTCTCTCTCCTCTTTTCCCTTTTTCTTTTTCCCTTCTAGATCTGGGTTTTTTCAACCCAGTAAGGACAATCGATGGCATGTCCACTCTGGCCAAGTACTTGAACATCTCAGAGCTTTCATGGTATCGAAGAGATGGGCATCCTTCTTTTTATGCTAAGAAGCAGTCTTCTCGACCGGATTGCAGCCACTGGTGCTTACCGAGAGTGCCTGATACATGGAATAGGCTGCTGTATGCATCCATCATCCTGGGCAGCACCAGAAACATTTCTTCTCGGTTAGACGCTTCATCATCCTAACCATAAAGAGTGGATGTCGAAACAGTTTTCATTGGTCAAAACTGGAACTATTGTTGCCGGTTTGGTTTGAACGGGAACAACGCTATCCATGGTTGCATTATACTGTTCTTGAATCAAATTTTGGAAGTCAAAATCCAGATTTGGACTGGGTTTTTCTAAGCTACCAACCTTGATTTTCTCTTTTTAAGCTTTCCTTTTTCTTGGTTTTTAACTTGTTTTTGAAATTGCATTCCATTTGAGAACCCAACGCAAAAGGAAAGGGATTTTTCATTTTTGTTTTTTGTTTTAGTTTCTGGTTTGAGAAAACTCAGATCTGGATTGAAAACCTAACAAATTTGATTTGGGATTAGAGAAAATTGAAGGATTTGTTAGATTATAACTAGATTCAAGAGGCAACATCAGATCCAACCGACGATTGAATATGGCCGATTTTGAAGTAGACCTCGAGCACCATGACGGCAAAGGTAGCCAAAGTAGAGGTTCCCCTTATTGCCACGGTCAAAGACACATTGCCGTCCTTAAGTCAAACTTGGTAGGATGAGAATAGAAACAGTTGGAGGTCTTTGAAATTCTCGAGAAGTAAGCTTTCGATCTCGATTTGGATCAGGAGTTCCTAACTAGTTCGGTTCCATCCTAGATCTAGGTTTCGTTTGAAACCTAGATCTAGAGAGGAAGAAGAAGGGAGAAGAGAAAAAGAAAGAATAAAGAAGAAGGAAGCCTGATTCAATTTTGCAAAAAAAGATAATGTAGGTGAATAGACATTTATTCATTTTGTAAATTGAATAAAGGAAGTGGGTTTTAATTTATGTGATGAAATCCAAATCTGTGTTTGAGAGAGGAAGAAGGGAGAAGGGAAAAGGGGGAGAGAAAGAATAAGAAGAAAAAAGAAGAAGGATGAGCAGGGAAGAGGAACAGAGGAAGAAGATGAAGATTGAGAGAGAACCCAGATCTGGCTTTGCAGATGTATGGGAAGAGGTAAGGCAAAGGAGAGAGAAAGTGAAAGATGAAGAGGAGATGACGTGGATGGGAAAAAAAATCATTATTTTTAATTTTAAAAAATACCAACTCATAAAAAAAATGACAACTATGTTTTTTCTTTTCCATGTCATTAGTTAAAGAAAAAAAAAGAATTGATTTGCTAACATTTTAACGTGCCACCTGTCATTTAACTAACGGAAGGACCATTTTAGTACCGAAAATGAAAGTCTGAGAATAATCTTGGTACTTTTTAAAGCTGAAGGACAATTTTGGTGCCAAAGTGAAAAGTTGAAGGACCAAAATGATACTTAAACCTTTATAATATTAATTAGTTTAACTTAGGAAAATTTTAATTTTGATTGATATGCCATTAAAAATTTTAACAAAAATAAGACATGGATATATTTTGTTAAGATA